CAATGTAATTAAAGCTAGAAAGTTTTCTGGAGACCCTCTGAAGATCCAAGGGAAGTGCAAGTATACTATGTGCTATAAGTTTTATTATCCGTAGATGGCTCTTTTGTGTTATCAAAACTGACTGATCTTCTTTTGCCGTCTCTGTTTTTTGTGCCTTTGGTAAGGTGATATGTTTTTGCAGTATGCGAAGTCAGCTATTGCTATACGCCACTTTCGTACAAAATGGCTTTATTGGTACGAATTATGGTCTTAAAGACGAATTATGGCGAATTTTGATATTCTCTGTCTAGATTTGTGATTAGAAAAACATCTTTACCAAAGTTAATGAGACGTTTTCGAATTTTGGACTTTTGATGCTGACCATTAATTTGAAAAGAAAAATATCAAAAATCCGGCTCTACCAGCCTCTAGCCACATGTGTTTTAGTCAATTAAAAACCGGCCCGAGCTCTCCACAACGTTTCGTTACTGAGAAATCTGGGAGCTACGAACAGCTCCATTTTAGTCACTGTTGTGGCGACATCTCACAAACTATGCATGATGGAGCCAATGTTTTGTTTAACAAAACATTTCGTCACCATACTTTCACAAGATCAGCATCTCCTAAAAATTTGGTCAGGATCGGACTTATAGCTTCAGAGATAGGTTTCTGACGGGGGGAGGGGAGAGGGCTTCAGCTACAAAAATAAGGCGTTCCTCAACTGTATACGTTGCTCGGCTGAAGAGCTATGACTTTCACAAAACGTAACGGGCTTACGTTCTTTGGCTGGTACGCGTGGAATGGCCGTATAGAGAATCCATATTTACCCGTATCTTTATTAGAAAATGATTTTATTCTCAAACGACAAGTTTGATGCATAAATGGCTTTTCTTTGATGATACTTTCATTTTTTCGGTTGTTTTTGTTCCTAAGTAGTAGAAATAAATAAATTCAAGACGAATATACAAAAATAAACTATATAAAATCCATACGTAGAATCAGTACGGAAAATACCTCTATGGTGCCTTTTTTTGCAATAAGGGGGAAAAGGTATCGCACGAAACCTTGTTCGTACAGAATCTGAAAAACGTTTAGAAATGGTTTCAGTTCTCGAAACCCTTTTTAAGTTCCGAAGACACCTTTTTTTTTTTGGAGAGTACTCATATATCCTCTAAAAAAAAGATGTTTTTCAGTTTTTCAACGAACTGAAAAATCAATGGGAATTTTGTTCTTCAATTTCTAAAAACGGAAGAAAAAAGAAGTTTAAAAGTGTTGAAAGGATAAAATGGTGAATGAAAACAACGCTACACTGACTTTTCCTCTTTCTTCACACGGCAAAAGAGAATATCTATCATTGATACATATATACACGGATATCTTGAAGATATACGTCTTGCATGTACGAGAAGAGATATCTCCAATTTTGCTAGATACCTATTGTAGAAAAGTGCACCAAGTACTCTCATAAGTAATCATGCATTTTTTTCCTAACCGAGTACTTTTTAATGAGTACTCATGTGCGAGTATGGAGTGCTCGTATGAGAATTTTATGAGTTTTCAAATGAGATTTTACATAATATTTATGAGTAATTTCGAACACTTTTTCGTTTATCATTCTTTTAAGGAAATATTGTCAGATACTCAGAGTTTGGTTACGAGTCTCTTCGTAGGCGAGCACATCTCTGATTGTAACAGAATACTAGCAAAAATATTCTAAGTTTCTGTAGTGGAATCTGTGTATCTTATGTGGGTACGTCTTTGCAAAACAAAAAGGGGAATGCGTATTTCCTGAGTACTCATATGAGCGCTCAAATACTCAATGAGTACACTTTACTCAGTGAGTACTTACCAAGTGAAAGATTTCGTTGAGAAATAAGCAGCTTCTGTTTAGATAAAGGCTTCTGATGTTTGCTGAGATTCGAAAATCTCTTGAAATAATTATAAAAATGGTAAAAAAAGACTGATGGTCAAGATGGGGCTCGAACCCACAACCTTTGGCTTATTAGACCAATGCACTACCATTGTGCTACCTGACCTCGGCTTGGTTTAGAAAAGAAGACCAAGTGTGTATGCTGCAGCAAGAGAATTAATTATATCATATAATGAAATATAAGCTTTACTTTTAATACATCTACAGGAGAGAAAAGAAAACATCAAGTTTGTAAATGAACAACTTTTTTGCGTTCTGCGTAAATAAAAAAAAGTAGAAGAATGGAAAAATTATCGTTAACGTTGCAATGTGCTAATATTTATTATATATTAGCAAACAATTATTTGTCCGTAGATAAATACTTAAATTATTCAGTTAGTTTGAATTTTCTTAAAATCTTAACGGACCAAAACAATGTACGTGTATGAATGTACATTAGTTCAGCAAACCTACTTTTGGGCAATCTGTCTTTTTCTCATCGTGTCGACAAACGTGAGATAAAGATCTTTCCAAATTTTTACCAAAGACAGAACATTGATGCAGTTTTGTCGAGAACTTTCTAACATAGTCTTCTATCGGTATGCTGAAAAATTCCAATTTTCATCCGTACATGATATTACAATCCCATCCAAACGTCACCAGATTCAGCTGTTCTTACTTTTATCAGTAGGATTGCATTTTAGACCATCATTCCAGGTACCTATGTTCATGATTATAGTTTTGATAGGATTGTAATATCATGTACGGATAAAAATTGGAATTTTAAAGTAAATCGATAGAAAACTATGTAAGAAAATTCTAGATAGAATTAAAACAGCAACGTCTCATTACCCGTCAGTTCACCGGCTAGCCTTTAGCATTGTTCCTGCTCTTATTATCAATAACAACAAACATCTTTTACTTATTTTCATTTATCGAGAAAGAAAAAAAGTTATTTATTTAAAAACTTGAACACAAGGTGTCGCTAGTGAGCAGTTCTAGTATTCCGAACTAAGCGAAACTGAAGAAAACTACTAGGCACCAGATATAAAGGCTTTGGAGTAGAATCTGATTGGCTATTTTTCTGCAGTGATTCTGTCCAGTGGACTAGACTGGTCTGATTTGCCTGAGTATATTGTATTTGATGCTTTTACAGGTCCATAGCAAGTGAGGGTGCGTACGGTTGTATAATCTCTTTCTAGTTCTCAAAATGATGCTTTTCTCTGCATTAGTTTTTTCCTGTATCGCGCGACACGATCGGGATGAATTCTTATTTTTTTCAAAAAACTCCTATTATATTTGCTATCGCATCGTAACAATATTTTCTTATGTTATACCGTTTGAGTAGAAAAGTGACTCGCTATTGCAACTTATGATAAGAGAACTAAGCCATAAATTAGCACCCCGCTCGGCTAGATTTTACTATTCGTAAGCATTTTATGAGTTTTAGCGCGACTCGTGATGTAAGTCAATTAATCATAGGTAGAACTTACACTGAATATTAGTTCAAAAATGATTATAAGTTTGATCTTGTAAATTTTTGCCCCAGTTCCATCAGAAAAATTTTTTTTATTGATACAGGTGGCGAAGTGCCGCTAAAGTATAATAAAAAAATATTTTTCTCTATCTGCACGAGTAGTGAATGATCCTTTTTGTATGGTATGGATGCCAGAAAAGTTTTGAAAATTACACTCGTGCACCGTAACAGGTCCATAGCAATCTCTTCACTTCTTGGCAAATGTCTATAAAATATTTTATAGACATTTGCCAAGAAGTGAAGAGATTGAGATATTCCGTATTTGATACGGCTCTGATATATTTTAATATACGTAAGAGTTTGCTTTTGTAAGGTATTTATGTAAACACACTTGTTTGAAAATGACTTTAAACGAGTTTTTGGAAGAATTTGGGATAAAACCCGGCTAATATCGCTTTTTTCCGAAACGTCCAGCGAAAACAAAATCGGTACTGGGTGGGAGGAAAGCTTTTTGTATTAACTATATGTCCCCACCAGTCATAATGGACGTCCAACAGCCTTCTCAAGCAGTGATTTCTTGTTAAAATAGAATGTCGAGTTCCCCAGTAATGCTGCACAAATTTAGAGTCCTTGGTCTGAGTGGTCTTTCTGTCTTTTGTTCTGTTTATTATCCACACTATACATCTTTACGCCTTTACCACTCAAAAGATGTTCGCAATTTACATCCTGTCAACTGCCTTCTAATACAGTTCACTCTTCGTTTTCCTATGCAGGCGCTAAATGGAATAAACTATCAAAATCAGTTTGTCGTTTTTCATCCCTAATATTATTAAAAGAGCTCGATCTCAACTAGAGACAACGTCGTCGTTATCGGTGAAAGTTTTAAATCGCTGCCGCTGCTGATCAAAAATTTTCGAAGACAAGAAGAATAATTAAAAAGTCACAACTTTTCCGTGTTATCAACTAGAGTAATGTGCAAAAAAAAGAAATATTATATTAAATAAATAAATCAAATAAATATTATATTGATATTTATCTCTAAAATATATTATACAAAGTATTGATGAACACTGTTCCGTCCTTCTCGCGTCTTCTTTTACTACCATTCTGCAGCCCACTCCTGTGCCTCGTACCTACTTTACCTTACCACATTTTGAGACTTCTCAGGGAAGAAATTTTCCCAGTTTGATAACTCTTCTTAAAAATTTTCACGACGCCGCTGCCGCCATGAGTTTGTTTTGTTTACTTTTATATTTGTTTTATTGTTTACTTCATTTATCTCTAGTTTTCTTTTATCTTTTCTTAGTTGTTTGACTTAAATCGTTATTATTGTAGGCTGATCGATGGTTCTCACTTTTCATGAATAAAATAATTAAACATAACAATGAACTATTTTTGTGATGCAGATCAATTATTAAATCAATATCTTCAATTTATTTAACAAACAGATATTTAATAATGACTACGATTAGAATGAGTCTATACAATGATTTTTATTAACGACGAAAATAACGCGTCGATAAACTGGTAAATTTTTCTAATCTTCATAATGAACATTTCTCTTCTAAGTTAAATGTTATCTTTTCAGACTGATGTGTAACTCTTCATTGTTCTTTGTATTATTAGATCTTAATAATGGAAGAAGAATTAGATCCTTCAGTTCCTGATATTATTATCAATAGTCATTCATTATATTGGTCAGATTTAGATAAACCAAAATTTCTTAGTTCAATGGTCGTATGTGCATTTAATATGAAATGTTTATTTTATCCAATTGGTCTTATTAAAACACGAATGCAAACACAACAAAAATATCGTCATACATTTGATGCTATACGAACAATATTGTTAAAAGAAGGCGGCTTCAAAGGATTATATCGAGGATTTAGTTTTAATTTATATAGTTTAATTTTAGAACCAGTGTATATTGGAACATTAGAATCAACACGTACAATATTAATGAATAAAAAATGGAGTAAAACAACGACTAGTTTTTGTGCCGGTGGTGCAGCATCACTTTGTCAACAAATATTTTTAGGTTAGTAGAAAAAGATAAATATTTAAAAATAAAAATAATAAATTTATTTATGTTTTAGTTCCTATCGATATTGTTACTCAACGTTTAATAATCGAAAAACAGACTAATAAAAAACTAATAATTCAATCTATATATCGAAATGATGGTTTAATTGGATTTTATAAAGGCTTTTTACTTCAATTATCTGTTAATATTCCATTCTCATCATTACTCTGGACATTATATTGGCGAATTCAATCATATTTAGAAAAATGGAATAATTCAATAACATCACCACTTTCTGCTGCTCTTGCATCGTCAACAGCTACTTTACTTACACAACCAATTGATGTAATCAAAACAAGACTACAAATACAACACAAAAGACAGCCATTAAAGAAAACATTTCAAATATTATTGAATGAACGAGGATATAAAGGATTAATGAGTGGATATTTTCCACGATGTCTCATTGTTGTACCTGCAAATATTATTTGGATGAGTTTATACGAGTATATCAAAAGGATAAGTGCCATTAACCGATCGACTTCATCACATAACTATGCTACTGCAGTGTGATTCCATCATCGTTTTTCTCTACTTTATTTCTTTTACAGTTTTCAAATCAAAATACTTCCAAAGATCTGAAATATTTTAAATTGAAGAGAAAAGTGTGCTCAATATTTTGAGCTGTTTCTGTACTCGACGTTCTTTTATTTTTTTTTTTGAATACGTCCATTAACAGCTAGATTCATATTAAATCTAACTTTTATTTGCTAAATTTTAAAAAATGTAGGGCTTTCGACTCATCGAGTCATTATCAATACAAAAACATAGAAAACTGAAAATTAAAACAGTTACATTAAACAAATCTGTATATTAAGTGAATTTATTTATTTCGTTTTCTCTTTATATTCTTATTCTATTTTTCCTCTTTATTTGTCAAATAGGAAATTTTCGTATAGAACAGAGGTAACCGTTATTGATGATGAAAAATGAATAAGTTAAAAATTTTGAATTTAGTCCTTTTCTTTCTGTAGCTTCTTTTGCTTGAGAAATCGTTTGGAAAGACATAAAGTGGTATCGATCGATCACTATCATTGAACTGCGGAGTACTAGATGGAATTGTCAGCGATTCTTTCACTAGTAAACGATAGCGATGATCATCCCTAGCAAGAATCTGAATGTTACTGAAATCAATAGTATACCGTGTATGCATAGTATGTTTTTCTACGGCTAACTTGGCTAATTTATATTCCTGCGTCGGTTACTCACGAATCAAAATATTGTTAGGCTGAGTGCGTTTAGCTACATGATCACTTTGTCGCACGTTTATCTAGTCTGTAGATTTCGTTTATGTTATCGCTTAGAATTTTGCAGAAACTCTTCGTTTAATTTTTGTTTCCTCGTCTGACGAATAAAGGGAAAAAATAGAATAAGAATATAAAGAGAAAACGAAATAAATAAATTCACTTAATATACAGATTTGTTTAATGTAACTGTTTTAATTTTCAGTTTTCTATGTTTTTGTATTGATAATGACTCGATGAGTCGAAAGCCCTACATTTTTTAAAATTTAGCAAATAAAAGTTAGATTTAATATGAATCTAGCTGTTAATGGACGTATTCAAAAAAAAAATAAAAGAACGTCGAGTACAGAAACAGCTCAAAATATTGAGCACACTTTTCTCTTCAATTTAAAATATTTCAGATCTTTGAAAGTATTTTGATTTGAAAACTGTAAAAGAAATAAAGTAGAGAAAAACGATGACGGAATCATACTACAGTAGCAGAGTTATGTCTCGGTGATATTCATATATATTACTACTCTAGTCTTATTTGTATTAAACTTTAAACAAAATTTGATTTGTTTACTTAAAAATGTCTTAATCCCTGTGTTATATGTTTGATGGGACAGTATATTCTTTGCTGTATGTTGTGTCTCCTACAAGAGAATGTTATTGTTTTTTTTGTATTTATTTAGATGATTTTACTTCATTTTTAGACAAATATATATTTTTTAGATATAGATTTTCTTTTGTATGAATAGTTATATTAAAATTGCGTTTATTTTATTTTATACAATAAAATTAGAAAATATTTTGTTTGTTCTTTATTGCTAGTTTCAAAGATCATACAGTATAACTAGTCCACGTTCGATTATGTCTTTTGTTTGAAATTTCTTTTGAAACTATCTAACGGGTCGTTGTAAATTATTTTTTCTTGATAATACTAATAGGCTATATCGGTAATCTAATTAACATGTTATACGAACATTTTGTCATTGAACTTGTGAAACTTAATTTCGTTTCGAAACCTGAAGGCCTTTATTGAAAACTCTGTTTAAAAAACTGATACCAAAGATGTTTTTGATTATGTATTTTTAGATGGCAACAGCCTCTACCATGACTGTTTCATCTTCTTCAACATTTGTTAACGAGCATTCCTGTGATACACCTGATTGTAATGAAAAAGCAAAATTAAGATGTCCAAACTGTATCAAATTAGGTTCGTGTACTAGTGGTGAGAAATGATATTTTGTGTTTTCACTAGTTTTTTTCAGGTTTACAGAATGGTTCGTATTTCTGTTCACAAGAGTGTTTCAAAGGCTATTGGACTGAACATAAAAAATTACATTCGCAAGCAAGTAAGTAGATTTCTTAACTGAACAGTTACATCCTATTTTAATGTGTAATTCTCAAATTGTTTTTTAATGTTTGTTTGATTTTCTCTTTTCAATATATGAAAATGGGATATGTAAGAGACAAGAGATAAATGAGAGCAGATGTCCTTTTTTTTGTAAAGCAATTCAGATTTTTATTTCAACTATTTGTTAATAACTTACCAATGAACAAACATTTTCTTTACGATCTCAATTTTTTTGAGTACAAAACAAATCTTTGTGCACTAAAAATCAATTAAAATAATTACAATCACCCTTGCGACTTTTCAATATAGATCTACATTGTCTTATCCATCCGCGTGCATGAACAGAGTCGTTTTTACCATCCCTCAATAGCCATGGAAAATATCTACTGCAAATTTTCATTTGAGAATGTTTTCTGTTCATATGGGCTACAGCATATATTATTAGCAACGTCTTGGGTATCTACCACTGTCGAATCTTCCGTTAATCTATCTTTAGGTCATAGAATTCGGTCATAAAACAGTTATTATCTGTAGAAAAAAATTTAAAAACGTCGTTTTTTATGCTCTTTCAATCTAAAAATGATGTGTCACACATTGTTTCTTTTTATTCTGTACGTTGATCTTTATTCCAAATAAATGATTATTTTTCTCGTCTATTTAGAACAACAACAGCAACAATCGCAAACTGAACAAACTGATTATTTTCCGTGGCCTGGTTTTCACTTCACCGGGATGTTAAGACCATATCCACTGGTAAAGGCTCTACTTCTGTTTTTTTGCTTTTATTTACTTCTTTTTCTTTTAGTCACCATTACGATCTGTACCTTCGACAATCGATCGTCCTGATTATGCTGACAATGAGGCTGGTCGCTCATTATCAGAAGAAGGTGAAAAATCATCGAGTTCAACAATTAAAGTGTTAACAGAAGATGAACAGGAACAAATGAGAACAACATGCAAAGTGAGCAAAACTAGTTTTTGTATCTCACGAGGGAAGGTCCCCAAGTGCGACTCTCTCTTTTCAATAGGACATATCCTGGTTTGTAGAGCTCGACGAGTTGATTTCGATGACATAAAGCATTTTTTCCATGGCTCTGGAAGACCCAGTTTTCTGGAACCAGTTTTTCAAGAACTCTGAATATAACCAAAGCTTCCTTAATGAGGCATAATTGTAGCGCACATATTTCTTATTAAAATGAGACATCTCCCAGCTCTACACGACCTCTCTTTGCAAAGTTATAGAATTTACAAGAAAAGCCCTAAATTAATTTCTTATTTCTGTAGCTGTGAGCTGACAATGAACATTTAGAGCTTCTATAACTTGCAAAAAAAGATCGTGTAGAGCTGGTACATATCTCATTTTAATCAGAAATGTGCGCGCCATAATTATGCGTCGCTAAGAAAGGTTTTGGTTATTTTATAGTGTCTGAAAAACAGGTCTTCAAGAGCCATGGGAAAAAATGCTTTATGCCATCGTAATCAACTCGTCGAGCTCTACAAACCAGGATATGTCCCATTAAAAAGTGAGAGTGGCACTTGGTGACGTTCTCTCGTCAGTACATTATAGTAGAATGTTTGGTGCAAGTATCAGGTAATCTTAATTCTAGCTCGGTCGTCTGGTGCTAGATGAAGCAGCTCGATCATTACGCATTGGTATGACAACAGATGAAATCGATCGAATTGTACATGAAGTAAGTAATGATATATCTGCATTCTTTAGAATAAATGTATTTAATCTTGATTTTAGGCTTGTATTGAGAACGAATGTTATCCAAGTCCATTGAATTATTACCAGTTTCCAAAATCGTGTTGCACGTACGTATCTAAATGATGCATAACACTACAGCAGGAGCAATTTGTTTGTAAATTCATGTCATATGCTTGTCTCTTTGTCTGTTTTAGATCGGTGAACGAAGTTATTTGCCACGGTATTCCCGACCAACGACCATTACACAATGGAGATATTTTGAATAGTGAGTAAGTTTAGCCTCACATTATATTGAGAACGATTAACTAAATGAGAGAAACGTAACTTTCTAGTACAATCACTTGTTTAGATATGTTTCTATAATAACTCAGGTTACAAGAGACTCGCTTGAGTAAATTTTTTTCTGTGCTTTGTCTAGTACTTTACCCACTTCCACAAAAATTTTCTACTCGATACGTCCTTTCTTTGCAAAGTTATGGGACTTGAAAGTTGAAAAAACCTAATTTTCTGATGACTCATCATCTGAAAACTGAATTTTTGATTATATAAAAAGATATAAAAAGAAAAGGAAAGCAGCGCATCCTGTAGAGAAGTGAATTGTGAATCTAACCATATGATTAGTGTTCAACTTTGTTTACTTTTTTTTGTTGTTCTTAGATATAATCATTTTACAAGCATCTTTTCCGTTTTTTGTAGACCGACCTTCTCTTACAGTTTTTCCCAAAAATCCGCTAGTGAAGAAATTTTTGGAGTGGCTAAATTGTAGATCAGAGGTCGGTCTATAACTCTATTTAAAAAAAAATCCAGTTTACATGATTTGGTAGAGATAAAAACAGCTTTCATTTCTGCGGAAGTCAACTTCCGCTCTAAATATAGACTGACTTTTTGCAACTTGTTTTGCTCAGAACTAATGAAGCATGCATTCGTTCTCGATGAAACTTCTACACTAGATAGAACATCAAAAGTTGTACTAGCAAAAGTAATTTCAGATCAAATCCTCATTTTGTTCTTTACTATTTTTACATTATAGGGGAAAATGTAGACCGACTTTTGTTTTTAACTAAATGTAGACCAACCTTTTTTCGTGAGATTTTCGGTCAAAGCTAAACGAAAACCATCAATACCGTACACCAGTCGACTCCTCAGACTGCGGCGAGTTTGACTACCTAATTTGTGGAGTTCTAAAATCTATAGTCTTTGCTAAAATAATGGATAATTCTGAAAGTAGAATCACATAACGAAATTCGGACTTTTTAGATTTTAACACTAAGAAATGAAAAACTTTTCTGCGGTTTTTTGGCTTGACGCATTTACTCACAGTCCCACTGTACTGCTCGAATCATTCTTTGTCGAACGATGTAGAATACATCTATTTCAACCCTTTTTCCAGCAAAATCCTGCCAAAAATTCTCTATGGCAAAAACTGAAAATTGCCTTCCTCCTAACTCAGCCAGTATGAGTCTGGCAGTTGGGAAAGTTTTATAGGATACTCGGCAAAGACAGGGGAACTAAACGTACCATTCAAATATTTTTAATGAACACTTTCATTTTTTTTTATCGATTGTACCAGAAAGTTACGTTTCTCTCAAATATAGAATCAGTGAACATGTACTGATTGTAAACAAGATGTACGTAGACTATAAGTTGTACATTAATTGACAGTTAATGTTGTTCTACATAACAGGACCTATGACAGTTCGCAACTCTTGCTCTTCATCTAGAAATGGTTCACACTCATGTAAACAGCAACTACAGCTGTTTTGAATTCTGATTAAAGCCAATGCTGAACAGCAAAAACCGAGTAATTTTTTATCTGAATCCTTGTGCAAGAGCCATACCCAGCTTGTATAGTGATCAAAAATCTATAAACTCCATCAAAGCAGTCATCTGTTCATGTTTTTTTTCTTCTGCAGTTGATGTTACTGTTTACCATCGTGGTTATCATGGAGATTTAAATGAAACATTTTTAATTGGACAAGTGGATGAGAAAGCCAAAGATTTAGTTCAAACAGCTTATGGATGTCTGGAAAAAGCTATTGAATTAAGTAAGTTTTTCTATTAGTTTCGTATACTCGATTTATAACTGCGTTTACTTGTCTTGTAGTTCGACCTGGCACAAAATATCGTGATGTTGGAAATGAAATTCAAAAATATGCAACAGCAAAGGGATGTTCAGTCGTGAGAACATACTGTGGTCATGGAATACACAAGTAAGATTATATATTCTCCTACGAACTGTTCAAAAGAACATCTTCAGAGACTGTTGTTCTGTACGTGCGACTAACCACTGTAAAGTAAAACGGCTCACTTCATTTTCAAAACCATTTGATTTTTTCTTTTCTACTTAGATTGTTTCATTGTGCACCAAACATACCACATTATGCAAGTATGAGGCAATTTTCTCTTTGTATACAAATTACTGATTTGTATTTTCATTTTAGAAAATAAAGCAGTTGGAGTTATGAAACCAGGCCATACATTTACAATAGAGCCTATGATCAATATGGGTAAATGAACGAAATACACGGCCCTTACACTTAAGGGTACCCCCCCATCCACTCTTTCTTCCAGACAATTTTTCATTTTGATTTGAACATAGCCTAATGTAGAGGAAAGTCGGGGCTACAAAATGAGACTACTTCCAGCTCTCCACGACCTTTCTTGAAAAAGTTATGAATTTTTTAAGTTCTTTCTCCAAAAGCCTGAAAAATCTCACTTTTCTAGTTGCGTAAATTTTTCTCTTCTTTCTCGTACGTTCAAAATTTTTGTTATAGACAGTTTGACAGAAGAACGTGTGCTCTTTAAAATGAGACATCTTCCAGAGTTTTTCGATGGGTTTTCGTAGGGATATAAGCATCACTGCAAATGCCCTGAAAAAAGTGCCTTGTGTACTCAGTAAGCGTTTTCGGTAGTCACTTCAGTCCAGTCACATTACGACCCATCGAAAAAATGGTCCGATCGAGCTAAATTTTTGCCACAGATATATCTCAGGTTCTAAATTTTTTTTAAGCGTTTTCGATTTCACATTTGGGTGTGAGAAGATATTTAAAATCAAAAATCGGTTTTTTTTTTATACAGGATTTTTAGCATTTTTCCAATATCTTAAGAAGGAAAGCATATTTTTCGATAAGAAACAGAGGTGAGCAACTCCAGCTAGGTACAGCTCCAACTCAACTCCAATACCAACTCCGCTAAGAAACCTTCGACTCCAACTCCGTTTCAACTCCGAGTTGAAATCTATTCGCTCTTTTTCCTTCAGTGAAATATGAGATGTATCATATGTTATTATATGCTGAGCACACGTTTATATCTCTCGCGACAAAAATAGATAAAAACTAAACAAAAAAACTCTCGCGAAGAAAAGGAAATGGGTTGAAGAAATTTTGAAGCGAAGTTTCGGAGTTGGGGTTGACAAAATCTGTCATCAACTTAACTCCGGTCGTGTGAAAAGCAAACTCCAATTCATCTCCAACTCCACAAAAAGAGACGCTCAACTCCGGAGCTGAGTTACCCAGCTGTGAAAAGAAAACTTTCGAACCTGTGATAGGACCTGAAGTATCTATGGTAAAAATTTGAGCTCGATCGGACCATTTTTTCGATGAGTTGTAATGTGACTAGATGAAAACTGGAATTTATGGTAATGAGTAATGATATTGTTTCTTGTTTTCTCATTTTGTGAGGAGACGGACTGTAGTGGAATTGTTGCTCTTGTTACTCTCATATAGAAGATAAACTCATTAATCTATAGCACACCTTTTGATCTCTTTTTGTAGTTACAGCTTTCTATCGAGTTGTATTATGTTTAGGAACATGGCATGATGTAATGTGGCCCGATAACTGGACTGCAGTAACTGAAGATGGTAAATTATCTGCTCAATTTGAACATACATTTCTTGTGACAGATAGTGGTTGTGATATTCTGACTGCAAGAGAAAATGGACGACCATGGTTTATGGATCAACACATTGTATAACGTACGTTAGACGCATCTCAGTTTTTTTCATTATTTAACAAAGTTGTTCATGCTTTTTTAGCAAATAAACATGTGTTTTTCAGTTTTAAGACGATTTTTATTTGTAAAGTTTTATTATTATTCATTTGTAAGTAATTTCATGGACCTTCGATCATTTTATACATGATTTCTTACCTAAACATCGAGATCTCAAAAGAGAAGGTTAAGCTTTCATCATCGTGTTTATAAAATGTGGTGGAGATGCACAAGTTTAAACGGGTAAAACGGTAAACAGACGAAATTAGAACATCTACAAACTTATAATAGTTTGATTAGTTTTCTCTTTTAGTATATCTTTAAGTTTTCCCTTTTAGCTAAAAGAGAAAACTCTACTATTTTTCAAGAAGAATTCCTATATTCCTATATCAGCTGATCCATTATCGTGTCATATATTCTACTATCGTATAGCTTTCATCATATCCAGTACTGTAGCATTTATTCACTATGAAGTGAATCATGTAACCATTAATTATCTCATAGCACAAACGACAGAGTTGTCTCAAAAGTATACTCATTTTGTGACGCTAAATTTACCATAACTAAAGCAAATATTAGAGTACTAAGTTCAGATGTGTCATCTACTCTCCCTGCACTTCGGAATCATCTTTTTTCAAACGTATACGATCAGAGATAACTGAGAACGAGTGTCTGATCCGAACGAGAAAAACAGTATGGAAAGAATGAAAGAACTAGATGCCAACTGCCCTAAGGGCAGATTGGAAATCCGACCGAGTGAAACGTATCTCAGAAACACTTTAGATACTGCTTGAATCCTTTAAATACGACTAGAATACTACAGTGCTCTAGTAGTAAACAAATGATGTATTCTATCGGTAATAATGTTTCAGACTATAAATGCATCAAACTAAACAGACGTATAGACTGATAAGTAGCACGTGACTACTGAGTGAATCACTCTACACTATTCATACTTAACAACTAAAATATATATCAAAAAAATAACTTCAGCTGTTTCATCTATCTCTCTTATACTCTCGAATGATGTTTTTCCCGAATCTGTACGATTAGTAATAGGTGAGAACGAGTAGCTGAATCGAAGCAGAAAGTAGGGTGTGGAAGAAAGAAGAACTAGATGCCAACTACCATACGGGCAGATTGGAAACCCAACTGAGTGAATCGTATGTTAGAAATACTTTAGACACCGTTTAAATCCCTTACATACGGTTGGAACATTGCAGTGCTGTACTGGTCATATTGATGCATTCTATCGGTAGTAATGTTTCAAACTATACAGAGGCCGATAGGTAGCACGTGACTACTTAATGAATCACTCTACACTGTTCATACTGAATGTACATGAAGTGTTACGTGACAATTAATTATCTCATAGAAAAGTTATTGAAAACATGCTCAACTTTTGAGACTCATTACTTAATAATGAAAACATATATCGCAAAAGTACCTTCACATGTGTATTTACAGCCGCTGTACCTTCGAATCATCTTTTAACCAAATCTGTACGATCAGTGATAGCTGAGAACGAGTGGCTGACTGAAAGGAAAAAGTAGAGTGTGGAAGAAAGAAGAATTTTTCTTGGTAAAAAGCAATAATTCTCCTTGAGTTTCACTCAGTCGGCTTAATAATGTACACAGTAACCGAAATCATTATTCAAATTTCGGACGTATCCAATTTAGTCTCGTTCTGGCAACAAAATATAAACTTTTGTTGTTTTAAAACATAACAAACTATTACATGATTTATTGTGACTAGAAAAAAAAATTGAGAAGTTTTAACAATCAAAAATTTCAAATAAAGCTCTTCTTAATTTGATGTTGGTATCGATGCTTGTTCCAACATGTACATATCATTGATACCTGTGTACGTATATACGAAAATAATTTCACATATGCTTTTCGATATTTCACTTGAATGAACGGATACAAAAATGGATTAAATGCTGAATTGAGCCAAAGTAACCAGAAAGCGATTTCGAATACAAGCGAAGGAATACGAAAACCGGCAGTAGATGCTACGGCTACGATCACATAGGGAAATAAAAAAATAAGAAAAACGACAACAAGAATGAAAAGGGAACGTGCCGCTCTTTTGTCTCGCATAATTCGAATGTCTCGTTGATGTCGACGAGGAAGACGATGGATCTTTTTCGATGTAGACGTTACAGGAGCTGATACACTAGTCGTTAATACTTTTGTACTGTTAACCTTGACAAAAACAACTGGCGATGGTGGACTGCTCAAGGTTTTTCTTAAACTATCTCGAAGAATGTGTATTTGATCATTAAGCAAAGTCGGTTCGGTAGCTACCACCGGCACCACTGGTCGTTCTTGTGATTGCGAACTACTTTTGATACAATTATTACTGTAGGTCATATCAGATGTAATTGTTTCGGAACTCCGTTTGTGTTCAAAAATGAGATGTTTCTTTTTCTTTGACGACGGTGGAGTAGTAGGCTGTTTCTTAAACGATGATCGCTGTTTTGTGTGAACAACAACAACAGAATTTTCTAGTGGTATTTTTGATTTAAGAGAAATACTTCTCGATAGTTTCGGTAGTTTTGATATTTTTAATTTTTCTATATCATTGTGATGGTAGAGTGATGTATCACTCTGAGAGAGTCGACAGATAGATTGAGAAGCACGAGAGGATTTTTGTGTTGTGAAAGATAATGAACGAAATTTTGATCGGCATTGGGTAGATTTTGGTTGAATTTCGTGATTTGATACACTACCACAGACTGCACTATCCATTTCGCAAATTGGATTTAGTTCACGATCAGGTGGTGGATGTTGACTAGGAGATGCTGAAAAGTCAACTGAATGACGATTATTAACACTGGTTTTGGGATTTCTGAGAATATGATGAATTTTTTTTGGTGGAAACTTGATACTGTTTAACGATGACCGAGGGTGTTTACTATTGACAGTGTGTCGTTTCATCAACGGTGGAATGGGAGAACTAAAAAGAAATATAGACAAAATAAGTAAAAGAAACAAAAAACTATCGAGATTGATAAAAACTCTTAATCAGTTTTTTTAAGTTCTTCACAAACGGTATTTCTCTCTAGCGATTTTGTGAATGGTTTGATCTTTGCATACCATCTTTTTCTAGAAATTATGGTAGCGTACTAGGATCAGATGATTTACGTTCTGTCTATCAAATTGTAATTAAGCGATTGTTGTTAATCATTATTCTTCAAGATTTGCCTACTATACGCTGGTTCCAGGATGGAATTTTAGGTGCGCTACTCTTTTGGGTATTTATCAATGACTAAACTACCTCTTCTCAGCTTATTACTTTATTATTTGCGGACGATGTTCATAATAGTCGAAGTTGGTGTAGTTTTGCTAACTTGTTGAAAGTTCATGCATGTAATGAGCTTTTGTAGGAACAACAACGAGACACATATTAAGATGTCCGTATTACGTTTCGTGAAATGAGTAATTTTTTATGCTAATCACGAATTTGGTGCTTGCTTTGTTGCCAGATCTTTCCGGTACCGATCTTTGAAATTCAAATCTTCAGAGACTCATTCTAAAGTTCTGACTGAACAGATGTTAACACATCCGAATTTACAGAAGAAAGTGAACTATCTATGCAAAGATTGCAAATCTAATTCCAGAGTTGAACTTGCTTTTGATGGAGTTCGAGCTGACCTTAGATTTTTTCAACCCCATCTTCACAACTTCAGTTCAAAACTTTTTACAACTTCAACATCAATGGTTTTCTTTTTTGACCTCTTCTATGTAAAATGACAACAAGTACGTTTTCGAGATTAATTAGTTGAAATGCAATGATGAATTGATAGAATAATTTATTTTTGTACGCACTCTTGTAAACAATAACGAAATAAACAACTGATAACAAATAAAGGAGAAAGAATAAAAGAAGACGACGAAAAGTGCTTATGGGAGTTGAAACGAGGTTGAAGTTTTTTCTAGGTTGAAGTACACAATTAGCTTGAATAGATAAAATAACATCTTGACATTCCGAAATAGTTTTAATTGGTTTTGACTGAGTTACGAAGTTTTTGATTTCCGGTGCAGGTAGTCAAAAATGTTTTTGTACTTGAGGTAAGTTTCACTTAGTTGTTGATATTTTTTCCCAATAAAAAACAATATCACGGACTCACGAGAGAACCGCCCCAGGTGCCAAACTCCGATTTCCTTCATTCATACCTCGTTTTATAGAGCACATCGAGCTGGTAAAAAGCCTAAAAGGATTTTTGCCCATGGCTCTTGAAGTCTCGGTTTTCTGCAAAACCAGTTTTGGAGAAACTCTAAAAAATAATCAAAACCTTTCATAATGAGGCATAGTTATAGCCCGCACATTTCTGATTAAAATGAGACCTCTCCCAGCTCTACACGACCTTTCTTTACAAAGTTTTAGAATTTACAAGAAAAGCCCTAAATGTTCATTGTCAGCTCAAAGCTGTAGAAATAAGAAGAAATTAATTTAGGGTTTTTCTTGTAAATTCTATAACTTTGCAAAGAAAGGTCATGTAGAGCTGGGAGACGTCTCATTTTAATCAGAAATGTGCAGGCTATAATTATGCCTCATTATGAAAGGTTTTGATTATTTTTTAGAATTTCTCAAAAACTGGTTTTGCGGAAAACCGAGACTTCAAGAGCCATGGGCAAAAATCCTTTTAGACTTTTTACCAGCTCGATATGCTCTATAAAACGAGGTATGAATGAAGGAAATCGGAGTTTGGCACCTGGGGCGGTTCCCTCGTCAGTGTGGACAATAAACATACAGATCCCAGGGGCTAAAAAAAGTCAATTTTTTTTGTTTTGGGTTCCGTTCGAATCTGTTCCATAAGTCCGATACCGGAGGCGACTCGAACAGGTGCAGTTTTACAATTGTCAAAAGCGATCTTTTCTAGGAACATAAACAACCCGTGGCAGTCTTCCATCAGTAACAGAGGAGTACTCCGAACGCAAACAATAGAACAAACAATCAATCACAAACGTTTTTCGAGATCGCTAACACCGAGCTTTGTCCCTGTATATTTATGTACAACAAAAATGAGATTAAGTTTTCCTTTCCAGACTCCAGTCTACTTTTGAAAAAAATGACTTAATTCGACCTCGACTCGGTTCGACGTAGATCGAGTCGAGTTGAATTCACTAGGCGAATAGTCAGCTCATTTCGACCTCTGATAAATCTATCAGTTTTCAACGTAGCCAGGAAACGGAAGAAAAAGTACTAGGTCTCTCTCTTATGAAATCTGATGCCACATCAAAATCATGAAAGATAAAGAGTACAGATGACTGCGATCTGGGGTGTAACCGGTACCAAAAATGCGATACCGATACCGGTCACCGGTATACAAACTTCGTACCGGTGCCGGCTTGTCTTGATCATATTTTGCCTAAATACAAATACTTTTCTGTTGTTTTTTACTATGAACTTTATTTTATGTTATCAAAAAGATAGATTAATCTTTTCTTTGATTATGTATAGCTGATTTCTCAGACACTTTTTTTTAACGAACACAGCAATCTAATTCAATCTTTTAAATTAAGAAGTTTATATAAGCCGACAAAGCTTAAGTAATTGGAATAAAATTTTAGTGGAAGAAATATGTCACAGATGAACTGAATTTACACGATGTTTTTCGAAAAAAATCGTATCATACCGCAAAATACCAGCAATATCAGTCGCCTGATTATACATACTAATACCGGTCGGCGTTATAATTCGTACCGGTATACCGATCGATAAACCGATACTGGTTGCACCTCTTACTGCGATTATTAGTGAGTACTTCGGGCTATCTATCCATGTTATAACACAAACAATTGAACAGGCTATTAAAGACCGTCTCAAAGCTCTACCTTCTGAAAAACATTTTTAAACATTGGATTTGCTGGTAACATGTATCTAAGGTCTTTATACGAAAAAAATTGTATAACAAGTATTAGCAAGAGGTCTTGGAAACAAAATTGGGAAGAGTAAGATTAATTACGTACAAAATAAATCATAAACGAAATCGATGTTTTTCTCATTATTTTTTTAAAAGGAAGAATGAAAAAGTTATTCTTAATTAAATATCTTCTACTCCACACCCCCCCCCCCCCCCCAACGAGACCCAGTCTGTAAAAACCCCCAAAAAAACACACGCGAC